AAGTGGATTAGTAAAGCTGAAAAGACATATTGATCTGATAAATTTATTGATGTGCATAAGAAATGTTAGTTTTACTCAGAAATTATGGATAACCGGTTTTTAACCTCAATAGGGATTTTGCAAGATACTAGAAGTCTGTTAAGGAATCATTTCAAGATCAGAGAATGTTCGACGAAACAACTAACTATAGGATCTTTAAATTATAAGTATGCTCGTTAAGAGTTAATACCGAAATCATCTGGTTAAGAAATTACGAAAATGCCATTGAAAGGTAAAAATAGCTCAAGTTGACTCTGAATAAGAAAGTTCTTGGAGGATTTGTACTTAACTCAATAAATTAAGTATTTAATTGTTAAGATCCTGTCTTTGTACATAAAATTTCTGATAACCTATTGGTAACATCTGAGAAGACAATCGATCTGAAAATCTTCGAGTTAAGAATAAATTATCAAGGGTGCTCTTTTGTAAGAATTATTTGAAAGGTCTGGAATAAATGATAAGTTGGAATTAAATAATAAAACAGAATTGAAGGAAAGAATTGAAATACACCGGATCTGTAAAATGACCAGAATACCCCTGTAATAAAAAAGACTCGAGAATATTACCAAGCTCAGGAATGATTGGATATCCTCGAGCTCTGAAAAGAATGGAATAAAACTGGGCACCAGAATGACCAAAATACCCTTATGACCTAAAATTAGTAGAAGTGTTGGATTAATTAAGGAATCCAAATAAACATGGATATGGTACTGCTCTTAAAAGTTATGGATCACATATTAAGCCGAGTAATCAATGCTAGTGTATATGTCAGTACCTGAAATGTATAGATGTTACTTGAATGCGTGTTCGTCTTCTCAAGTGTGGTTCAATGATAATTTTGAAAGTACTCAGCTCAACTCAATTCTAGGTCGCATTCGATAATAAGAAATGAATATTTGTTAGACAAATCAACCACGAAGACCAAATTAAATTAAACGGAAGTACAATATATATATATGAAATTCAGAAACGTCTGGATTATCTGGAAAGCTCTGAAGTAATCGGGATAGACTTGACTGATAAACGAACTGAGTAACCTCAATGACTGAGGATTAAATAGGTGATTTGATGAGTTTGGGAACACTGTTGAACTTACATGATGAATTATCCTTATGGGTCATAAAACATGAATCAAGTACGTATGTATTTCCTGATATCGTTGAAATATGGAAATGAAATAAAGACTATTGGAAGATCTATTCAGCGATGATTACGAAGATGATTTATGGACAAGAATTTTGGTATTAAAGAGTAAATACTCTGAAAAGGCAGTAAATTGACAGGTCAACATGCATTAGTTCAGAGAGCTTGTTCAGTTCGAATTGTTCGATAAACCGATCGATTAACATGGATTGTAAATGTCTTGAAGCTTCGTTTCTCCTTTATTAGCTCAAATCACTCTGGGCATTCTGGAACGCTTTCCTGATGCACATGAATCATAGTGGAATTCTAAAGTATCAACTTTAAATGTCTGACTAGATCGGTTAATAATCGATTCTCTCCAATAGGACCTTGTTCTTAGAATCCGATCAAATTGCACGAGCTTCATGTTATCCTTACTGATAATTACAAAATGCCTCTGAAAAATACTTGGATCCTCTAGTGTGTTCCCTACTTATTACTGAACTGTTTTATTGGTTTTAATATGTGGTACACCGAATCCATTAGTTATTGTTTTATGGATGCACCAATTTAATGTGACAATTTATGGAATATGGTTGCTATCTAATTTTTGTTTTGAAATGGTATATGATTACCATGTTTTTGGATTGATGGAATTTATGTCACGGTGCAATTGAATTTTGGAATTGAATTTCGATGGAATAGCTCTGATCAAGCTAAATGGGCCTAATGTGACTCTTGAGGGCCCCAAGATGTTTCATTAGGTCGGCTTTCCTTTGCTGTGTGCTTAGGGTAAGCTATATAGACTTATTGACTTGGGCTTAAGGATACAAGCTTCATAGCCTATCCTTAAGTCGGCTTTCTTTTTGCTATGTGCATAAAGTAAGCTATATGGAAAATAATTTTGGGAACTACTGATGGTGTACCAGAAAAGGGTTTAAACTATGATTTTCAAAAGTTAAACTCTTTTACAAATTTGTGAGATTTACTGGACTATGATTTGTTTATTGTACTTATTATGATTTTATTGTATTGTTGGAACACACTAGACATCCTATTCGATATCCTAAAAACGTGATACTATGAATGCTTCCTATGAACTGAGATATTCATGGATTCTATTCGATGAACTACCAGTGGAACCTCAGATTATTCTGAAAATTTGTATACGTCTGATTCAATAAGAAAATTTTGACTTTCCATTTATCTGCATGTCCTTTAGCATCATCAGGTAGTTCTGTATTACTGAGCTTTCCGAAGCTCACTCTATTACTCAACATTGCAGGTTAAAAGAATTGTACCAGTGCAGCTATCGACAACAGTAAGGGAGTTCTTCCGGCGTTGTTTTCAGAGTATGATACATGTGATTAGGGGGCATGTAATTGTATTTTGTTTTATATACGAGGCTGGAAATCTGTTTTATTTTTTAAATAGTGACAAATGATTTTATAAGTTTACATGTTCTGATTAAAAGTTTTAAATTTTCCGCTATTTTTACAGTGGGTCGCTCCGGTGGCCCTAATGTGACAACCCAGATCGGATCGGGTTATCCGCATCGGTCTGGGGGTTACAATTACTTTTATATAATATAACAATCTCATCAGATCACGTTACATTAATAATCCGAATGGGTAAGTAATTAGTTAATAACATTACCTAACTGGTACAACTTGAATGTAATGTCAATGGGTAAGGTTAATATTACTTCATAGTTTTGAGCCTCCTTTCACCAAAAATAATAATAATAAAAAAAATCGTGAGATCAATTCCACTTATTCCTCTACTGCTATGCTAACACTTTTAATCCTTCGCTAGCTGCTCACAGAATCAAAAACTATGAAATATACATGTTTTAAATATACTTCAATAATTAAAAAATATTATATTAATCCATGCATAATTATATATTGTGTCTCAATTTCTAAATTTTCATTGTATATATTAAATAGTCTAAGCTGATTATAATATTATATATGTTTAAAATCTTTCTTAGTATTTAATCTATTTAAACTCAAAACTTTTAAAAAATAATATTTTTTTAGTTACTGAGACTAATTAATAAATTTCATTTTATATATTTATGATTGAACAAGACAACTGTATAAAGTAATATATATGTACGTAGGTATATATTATTTCTTTTTACCTAAAAAACCCATTTGATACATTTCCTAATTGCCCTTGACGAGCCAAAACTATTACAAAATCACTGCAAATCGATAAATAGATATATCTAGGAATGCTCAAGGAAATGAATTCTTCTTTGCTTGTTAATGTCCAAATCTAAATCTTAATATAAATGGTCAACGCCTCATAAATGCAACATCAGAATATTTAATTAATTTAATTAACGAGCTTCTACCACCACGCTCGATTTCCATCATTTTTAAATTAATATTTTTTATGAGATAAGATATTATTATATCTTTAAATAAAATAATTAATTATTAGAATAATGAATTTTAATTTGTTTTATTTAAAGATCGTATAAAAATAAAATGTAAAATATTATTAGAATAATATGTATATATCTTTAAATAAAATAATTAATTATTTTCAACTGAATTTATATCTGATAATTTGATGACACCAAATTTAATCAAACTTTTAAATATAATATAGATAGATGATAAATAAGTTAAACAAACAAATCAATACAAAATAAAAACAAACTAAGTTTAATGTATTTAATGATTACAAGTTAAATACCTTTTTCTTTACCATAAAGTACGAAAAAAAGGGGGAGATGCCAACATTTCAAGCAATTTCACAACGTGAGACCAAATACCATCACAATTTCAGTCCCTTAAAATGGTATTTTTTATTGAATAATTGAAGAGGATTATAATAATATTTGTTCGTGATTTTTTTAACTACTAATAACGCACACAAATATTACAAACACAATTATTCAAATCCAAGACTTTAAATGAAAATAACAATCTTTTAAGAGATCATTCAATAAGTTAAATATGTAATTTTGTTCTTATATTATATAAATGAGGGGCTATTCGCATTTTCATTGAGTTCACTTCATCGATCAGGTTGAGCTCCACACGCCAAGGAAACCATAACCGTCTACGAATATATAATAGGAAACGTACGCTATTGACCTTCAATTATGCATGCCAAAAGTAACCCCATTCTCTGTTGGTTGAATTTGAAAAGCTTTCAATTTCATCCCCGTAAGAAAAATCACTGTCCGTTCCTTATCGGTTGTTGGTACTACTAGACAACATAATCTTCTTCTCTTTGTTACTGTTTATAATAATCTGGAAACCCTAAAATTTAAAAGTTCCGTTGCAGAATTGGTAAGAAATTGTAAACTATTCACCTCTGGTAGTTAAAACCGCACTGCAATGTACATTCACCCCTAACAACTAGTTGTAACATTATAACCTATAGAATCTATTCAGTGAATGTTGATCTGAGTTTCAAGCAGTTGCGTCTATAAGATATATATGTATTATTGATAAACTAAAATAAATTATGAACACATACACTATCTTATTAGAAATAAACTAATCATGGTTGCTCCATTTTATACTCTATACCGGCTGGAGAAATATGCATGTATGTTCTGAAAAAACTGGATATCGTGTAAAATTAAGTCAGAAATCTTCTCTATCCTTATTTCACAAGTCCAGGAGCGTACACTAGGGTTTTTTAGGGCAAAAAGGTTACCATTTTTTTATGACTGAGAAGAAATTAATTATGAGAACCATCTAAACGATGCATACAAATTTAATATAAGTCTTCATAAATTCAAATCTCGAGAAGTAGGACACTGGAAACAAGGTGAGGAAAAAAAAACAACGATTTTAATGACAAGTTTTCAACTTCACATGGGAGGATCAGGATCTGTAGATGTTCTTTGTCTCCCTTCCACACGTTCCTATTCGTATTATGAGCTTAATCAAAACCCAAGGCGTATTACCTGCACGTGTGACGATCAATGATGGATCTTGTCCAGCGTCTCCTCGCCCAAATTCCACCTTAGCTTATGGAGTTAATCGAAATATGGAACACTATCACTTCAAATGGAGCTATATCCGGTTGCACTGGTTGACGATGTGTACAGAGAATTAGATGTGGAAGATGATGGGACAACACTGGAAGGTGGAGGCCTGGACGGAACAGGAGGAGGACGGGTTGGCGGAAGAGGAGACGGCGGAGCAGCAATTGATACCGCCCCACCAGCAGAAATTAAAGCAGCGTGAGTGTGACTAGAAGGGATGATGATGTTACTACTAGTAGTAACTTCTCTAAACTTGTATTTCAGTATCTCAGCTCTTACTGCGTTCAATTCGGCTTGGAGTGTCTGGATTTGTTGCTGCAAAGTGACGATTGCACCCATGCACCCGTATACCGGATCTCTTAACCTCAAGTTCGCCTCATAAACCAGACTGTTTGCAGCATCAGCTCTTTGGCTCTCTGGCACCTCCTGTAAACCCAACAAATCTGCATATATAAGAAATAGAACTCGGAACCATTGAGTGAACTAGTAGTTTCCCTAGAGGACCTAAATTAGAACAGCTGTGTCGTGTATGCATTGTTAATGCTAATTTTTTTTTTTAAACATATACTACCTTTTAATCACCCATACTATTAAAAAAATGGAACTCGGGGAAAGAGAGAGAGGGAGAGAGTTGGAAGTTACTGTTACCATTAACATCTTGGCGACATTGCTTGCACCAAAAACTTTGTGAACAGCGGCAAACTTGTGGGACTCATGCGGGGAGAAATAAGGAGAGAAAGGACACTCTTCGGCACACCTTCTCCTCAAGAGCTTACATGCGGCACAAGGTGTGATTGTATTCAAGCTCCCTGGAGAACCCAACAGATGTCTCCTCCCCATTTCATAACATGCATCTGTCTTGATCTTCTTTCCTATCTCATCAACTCTCTCCCTGTCAAATTAACAACAAATACATCAGTTTTTGAATCATCAGATTCTTCTATAGGAAGATCATTTCTTAATTTAATCTGGGAAATATTTTTACCTGTCTCTGGACATTCAAGCATGCTAATGATGGGAGTGGTTGGACTGTAAAAGGAGAGCAAAAGAAGCATGAAAATGGGGAAAAGGGTGCTTAAAAGGCAAGGGTGATCTGGTCAGGGTTAATTATAGCTAAGGTCATTGCTTTCTTTCTTAAGAGAAACAAACAAAAGAGGGAAAAAATAAATGAAAGAGGGAATGTGGTTTTATATTTTTCTCAAGTTGATGATGATGATTTATTTATTTATTATTATATTATAGTTGAAAGATTAGGTTAAGACTTTTGATGCCATGGAAAAAATATATAACAATACAAATATATTAATATAAAGGTAAAATATATAAATAGTCTCTTGATTATAAAGTATGTTTTTATTAAATCTTCTAACTATAAAAAGTTATAAAATTATCATATGCTTTAAAAACTAACAAATTGATATGTCGTTAATTTTTTAATTAGAGATAATATGACAATTAATATAAATTGATATGATGAAATATTTACTACTGGAATTTTACACTTATTTTAAAATATATATATCAATAAATGACACATAATATTACCAATTTACAGATTTTATAGGTGTTGAACCCTATACATCAACCTCATCTAATTCAAACAATCAAGAATAAACTGTAGTAGACCTAAAAATGGAAGGTTATAATTTTCCCTAATTGGCAAGCTGTGTAGATAGTATGCTTATCAACAATGATAGTTTTATTAGTGACTAAGTTTGTTATATTAGGGGAGTGGTGACCTAAATATATGTGCCATAACTAGTAATTGGTCACAGAATCATCAATACGAGTGATAGTGTAGGATGCAGTGGTGTGATAAATAGAATCATATGATGCTGAGTCAAGATTGAAGAAATACAAATCATCTTCCAATTTCCCTTCTAGAAGAACAATTTCTAAGATTTTATCATTCACATAACATTTGTCAGAGTGCAATTAAAAAGAAAACAAAATATACCTTACCCATACCTGAGTAATGTTGACCCTTCTGAACTGAGTGGTGCTCACAGATTACATGATGCATAGCACCAGAGTCTGGAAACCACTTGTCAGCAACTTAAATAACGCCTTCAACAATCAAAGAATTAACTTGTGATGTATCAGTAGTATCCTCAACAGTAATCGCTTTAGGTCTTGTACAAGTATTTATAAAAGGATTATAACGATGATCAGTAGGATCAGAAATTTATTTACAAACGTTATTGAAGTACAAGTTAAACCCACATAATGAGATTGAATCACCTCATTGCCTGAGTTGATTTACTTATGTCCCTTATTGTGGACATAATGAGTCATATTGATGCCAACTGGATCTCACATAAGATCCATGATTCTGGATTCTACATCTTTATGAATAGAAGTCACTATTTCCAAGGTGAAAAGTTCACGATGACCATTATTGCTATAAAAAAGGCTTAGACTCAACTAGAAGGCAATTGAGCATCGTGGCAATCTGCTTAACCTTCAAGATTAAACTTCCATTGGTGGTTGGAAGATCACAAATCTCCTTGACCTGAGTTGTATACTCACGAATTGTAAGTGTACATTTTCTGGTGCTTGATGTCTGCAATGAATATTCATGATCTTCATTGTTGCAAGCTTGGAATATAGCTTGAGAACAGTAGTCCAGACGATGGTTATCGTCTTTGCTCTAACGAGTTGGGTAAGGATATTAGGGCTTATGGTTGACAGTAACCAAGATGTAAAGGAATTTTCTTGTTTCGTGTATCATCGATAAGCAAGATTTAGAAGTTGTTGATCGTTTGAGTCCCCCCACCCCCACACCATCTACTATGACACCAAAGTCACTTCATCCAAGAAATGCTCCAGATCATGACCTTGAATCATAAGAATCACTTCTTGTTTCCTGGAAATAAATTTGGAGTCATGAAGCCTTATATTAACATAATTGTCAGTAAAGACTTGGTGTACCGTAACCAGTGATCTACACTTCACTAGAGACATCAAATGAAAGATCTAGATTTCTATTAGCGAAATCCATGGAAACTGGAAAACACAAAGGGAAAATAATGATTCTGGCAACAATAACACATTCACCAACGATAAAAACAAACACAAATAATAAACAGTTCAAAATTAATTGAATTGCTTAAAAACTAATAAAATTGCTAACATGATATTTTAAATCATACTTAATATTTAGTTTAAGTTTTAATTTGGTACATATCGTTAAAAAAATAATAGAATTGCTAACGTGATATTTTTTTCCCAATAATGATGTGATATTACCTTAGGGTGACACGTCAACATCACCTTTAAGTTTTTAACGATGAGTACTAGAATGAAACCTAAAGTAAAAGTTAGGTATGATTTTGAAATAAAATAAAGTTTGAGTACCATAACGAAACAAAAATAATAGGTCATGTACTAAACATGTAATTTACCCTAATTTATAATTTTCCACGGGTATAACTTCTGTGTTTTTTTCCCTCTGTCTTATTAACTTTTTCACCTGCCTCAAGACAATGCAAAATCAGATCCAACCAATGCATTCATGAGTCATGGAAAATATTTATGTGTTAGCAATACGAAATGAGATATATTAGGGTTTGACCGTATATAAACAATGCTGCCATTTCCCCAATGAATTTCTAAATCTGGAGATCTAGAATTTCTAAACTAGAATCATAAGATGTAAAAGGCAGTTGCTGGGCGAAAGACGCGGAAGATTTAGATAACATTTCACTTTTTCCAACCGCGCTAATGGATCAGTAGCATCGATTTGGAATTACAAACACAAAAGCGCGACTTGATTCTGTAAACCATACATATATATGACTCAAAACTCCACAGAAATATATATTGGCCTTGGCTTATTTGTCTCTATGCAATACCTTGAGCATTGTTGAACAGAAGCCTCGAGACACAGCTCTTGCTCCACCGCCAAAACAAGGAGTTGAAGCGCAGAGTATTCGTATTCCTGATCTTCCTTGTTAGCCATTGACTCAGAAAACAGTTTTGCTCTTGGCAACTCTTTACCTGCATATAAGTTGGATGCCCCTATCGGAGACGATGGGACCGAATACGATCTTGGCCACGGTGACGACGAACGAGACGAAGAAGATGACGACGATGGTGATGAAGAAGCAGGAAAATGTTGCAGACGAGGTTTTCTCCTCAGACGGTTAGGCAAGATGGTATCGAGAAGTTTCGGCTTCGACTGGTGTTTAACGGTTCTTTTTGGGTGGCATAAAAGTAGGAAGGTGAGGCGTTAGAGGAGGGAGACGGGGGATTTCGCGACACTTTACTTTAGGAGTGCCCGGTTCAGACTCCCAATTAACGGAACTGCCGCCGTTGCTCCTTCGTCATAGTCTTCAGAAGAGAGGTTAACGATGGAAACCTCTCTACTCGGACGTCTGGGGAAGAAATCATCATGGTGCTTGATTCCAATGGAGGTCTGGGAAACATACAAGCAGCCTGCATGCATTTTTGCTTCCGATGAATGAAGGAGAAACCAGTGAAGTAGAAGTATGCTATGGCTATGAAGGAGGTAGTATTTTACAAGGTTTATGGTGCAACAAGGGATTATTTTAAGACTTTCTTAAGTAGACAAACTTCTACATTTCAAATTTATAATTGAAGAAATGACTCAGATCATTACATCTCTCTTTATACCAAGGAGTTAAATAAAAGGGTAAACTATACATTTAGTCACCCACCTATTTCTTTAATTACGTTTTAGACACCTAATTAATTTTTAAAATCTTACATAATATCCTATTTTGGTCATATGTTGCTAAAAAATTAACAGTGACACTAACATGTCACTATAAGATAATATCATGTCATTACTTAAAAAAATAAAAAAATATAACGTCAATAGTTATGTTTATTTTTTAATGATGAGTGACCATAATAAAATAAAGACATAATGTTAGGTATGATTTTAGAAAAAAGAAATAATTTTATGACCATATTTAAACCATATAAATAGGCAAGTGACCAAATACATAATTTAATGAAAAAATTGTGTGACCACATATAATTAAATGCATGTTAAAACCAATTAGGATCATTAAAAAAAATTAAAACTGCTCCCCCATGTCATTAAATTTGACTAAAACGTAAATAAATAAGAGGGCTGAGTACTCATGTGCGGGATGCAGGGCTTCCACATTCTACATTAATTGGCACTCAATAGATTAGATCGATGCATCATGTTCCCTTGAATATAATAGAAATTGAGGTATGTGTTTTGCATATGCTTTCCCCCCTTTTATAGGCATTTAGGCCATGTTATACATTGTTATTTATATTCCATTACATATAATATAATTCCATTTCCATTGGAAACAAAGAAGCAGAAGCACACAACAGTACACTCACAAGCAAAAAAGCCACTGTACGGGTTAGCTTTTGGTAACAAAATGGTACAAACGAAGTGGCACTTTGGTGTACCTCTTCGATGATAAAGGCCGAAGAGAATATTTTCGGACAACAAGGACCTCGAAGTTGTACGTCTCTTAAAAAATTATGATCTCTGAAAGATTCACGTGACATATCAAAACTAAATTTTTTGTTAATCGATCATATCTACTGAACCTATCAGTCTACAAGTAGTAATCTTGACACTAACATAAAATTATTATAAAACTTATTGGCCAAGATTGAGAAAATGAGTTGGAACCATTCTCCACCTATTATTCTCCTCTCCTTTCTTATGGGAACAAAGAATTTGAACATCGAATAACTGTCGTTTAACCATCGACTACAATTCTCTATCAAAATTAGAAGAAGTGACCCGTTGATAGTGTGCACTATTTTGTTTTCATCAACATACTTGTACCGTTAATCCTGTGTTGAATTATAAGCATGTGCTGATGTGCCATACCATCGGAGAAAACTCAATTAGATGAGAAACTTAAGGATGTCATTAAGTTGGGCTTTAACAAAAGCCGAACAAGGCAAGGGAAGGAGTTAGGGCTACGCATTAATGCATGGGCAACGTAAGTGTAGGGTAGTTACTACAAGAGAGCATTACAACATTATATGATATGAACACCACTCACCAAATCAACATAAAGATCCATTTGTACCTTTCACTAATTTTTTTTTTAAAGTTTTATAATGGGCTGTTGAACGCT